ATCCTAGTTATTTATCATTACAAAAAGCTCTGTGAGGAGGCTGCTGTTCTGTAGCCCACTCACAACCAACCTTTCTTGCAGAATAACTAATGAAGAGAAAACTCCCCTGTCATGATATACCACGTATTATGATCCCCAGGGCCCTTCTCCTGTGGAACAAGTGTCCTCCTCTGGGATAAGATGTCACTGAGATCAAGGGAAGTTTTGGGTGTCTTGCAAGACATCAGCTAAGGAATGACAGCTGCTTGTAAAGGAGTGGTTAGAATACAGTGGTTGCTGCAGACAAGGCAACATGTCAAATCTCAGTTAAAATTATATATTCTCCTAAATTTATTTTTTAAAAATCCTGGATTATGTAATGTGTAAACACAATTCTCTAAATGTTCAACAAAATACTAGCAGTTCATGACTTCAGATTCGTGTTGCAGACCATTCACAAGCAGTCTGTCTGTAAAGTACTCTGAAGTGTTTTTGTTGCATTGTGAGATTATCAGAGAAGTGGTGTGATGGTCAGGAGCCCCAGCATTCAAAACCCTCAAGTGAAAGAATGAGATCTATTCTAATCTATTTACAAAGATTGTATTTCTATTGAATATTTTTATTTTTAAATTTTTTAAATTCAAGATCCTTACCCTCTACTGATGGTGCTGCTTTGGGGATTAGTTGTCAAAGGCAGACTGGCCTCACAACTCAATACTCTGAAAGCAGGTGGGAGTGGCATTTGACAGGAATTGATAAACAGGAGAAGGAGGGGGAAAGGGTGTGAGGATAGACCAGGAGGCAAAGGAAAATGTCTGGGCTCTTTGTCATGTAGGTGTCCCTGAGAGAGATGTGGGGTGGATGGGCAGGCATAGGAGGATGTGGGGAAAATGTCTCTGGGCTGGAGAAAGAACAGGATAAAGGCAGGAGCAGGATAAAAGCAGCGAACACAGTATCTCAGCCCCAGTACTGAGCCCAGGACTTGGTTGCCCTGCCCATGAACACCTCTGAGCCCCCTTGGCTGCAGGTGTGTGCCACCCCTGCGGTGCCCCTGCCTCGCAGGAGGCCGGCGATGCAGCAGCTGCGGTCAGGGCAGCAGCAGCGCCTGTGCTGAGTGCTGCTGCTGGCCCTCCTGGGGCCACGGCAGCTCACACCAGGAGAAAACACTGACATTGCAAAACATGGTCAGCTGTGAAAGATAACCAGCATGAAGGTTTCTGATTAAGCAGAACTATTTATTTTTTCCCACGAGATGGCTTATTTTGACTCCTGTGGCAGTGGCCACAGCCTAGAGGACCTTGCCTTCCTGCTTGCAGAAATTGGGGAATGCAGACCTCTGAGTGATGCTATAAGTGGGTTGCTGGGGGGACCAGAAATGTAAAGATTTTGAGTGGGGCTGGGAAGAAAGACAGGTCCGCAATCCAAGTCTTAATGATATCTCAGCACTTTATAGTAAAACCAGGGGATGAAAGAGGGGAGTTTGAATGAAATGCTGAGTGAAGAAATCCCAGCAGTGTCTGCTGCACTTCGAAGGCATTTAAGATGTCAGGAAGAGGGTCCAAAACATAATACAGAGAATGGTGCCCTGGAGTACTTGGATTATAGCCCTGTCTGTGCTACAGTGCTGCTCAGTGACTTTATTTATTTATTTATTTATTTATTTATTTATTTATTATTTTTGTCACAGTGGCAGCTAATTGTTCATTCTTTGTTTTCTGGCTCTGATTCCGTATTTTGTTCTGTTCATACTCTTATTTGCATTATTCCAGCATTTGATTCTTCCTTGGCTGTGGGTTGAGTGAGGGAGCAGGGAGGGAAAGAAGAGAGCATCTTTTCCTCTTCTCTGAGGCAGCTTGCTGTCCCTGGCACGTTGCCTGGTGTGCTGAGGCACTGGAGACGTGACTCTCTCCTGCTCCATCATGAGCCCTCTCTGCTCAGCTGGAAAATAAAATGTGCTCAGCCCCAGAGTTTTCCATGAGCCAGCTGTGCCACCTGGGTCTGGCTGCCGTGGGGTGGAGGGTGCTCAGGTAATGGAAGGCAAAATCAAGTCCCTGGTCAAATTCTTCTCACTTCAGTTTCACAGATGGTTCATAAAGCACTTCCCATCAGTGTTTTATGGTTCTCCACCACCAATCTGTTGTTTATGCATGTCAAACGCCTTGGTGGCTGGATGCCTGGAAAATAAAATAATTGTTCTGTAGCAGTTTGTTCTGTTTTATTAACGATTAAAGTATTCATCAGTGTAATTCCCCATTAAATTTGCTCTTGCTCCAAACCTCCAGGGGCCCTTCTTAAATTTGCCAAGTGTGAGACATTCATTTTGCTGAAATATTTTCTGTCAATGACACTGTTATTATCAACAACCTGGGTAGCTATATCTACCTAACACTTTCCATTTATGACCCTATGTCCTTATTAATGTAGATATTTATAAGTAGTGACATGGCACCAGGGTTTGGAAACATTTGCAGGCTCATAGTTTTACTGAAAAGAAGTCAATTGGTATATATTGACCCAAAACCATGGACTTCAGTGGATCTATTTCAAATTCCAGCTGCTGAACATTTAGTATGTAGTAATCTTGTTGAAAATCAGTGGATCTGTGGATGATACAGGGCTCTAACCACTTGTTTCAACACTTGCGTTACTGCTGCTAAAAGGGACTAGAGGTAAAGATCTTAATTCTGAATGGCTACTGTGCTGAGGTAGAGGTAAAACTTTAACTAACTATAAATATGATGTTTTGAGCTACTCTCATCAACACAGTGAATAGAAATTATTTTTCATTTTTCAGAGGGTGAGAAGAGAATAATTAAGTCTTTGTGAAAGACAACAATTAGGAAGAGAAAGTAGGACATTAGGCTTTGTGTGGACCTACAAAATGAGCCTACATAATTTTCTCATCTCACCTCCAGGGGAAAAAAAAAGATATATCTGCCTTATATCAGTGGAGATAGATTTTTTTTCCTTGTGAATCTTGAAAGCTGCAACTGGGTGTATTTGCTTTCTCATAAATTTGATATTAAAATAACAAGGGGTCTTCCTGACCATATGTGTAGTCAAACCCCCAAATTACTTGCATTTTTGGGGAGTAGAAAGGGCTGAAGAAGAAAGGAAACCCAGCCAGTGTGCAGTCCACACCTCACAGTCAGTAAAATCTAAGGGGTGAATAGCCCATGCCTACTTCAATGAATGCAAACAAATGACATATTTACAAAGGCTGCATTTGCATAAAGGCATGTTTGAAAAGAGCTTAAAACATCTAAGCCATATTTAGAAGATGACTGAAAATAAGGGAGTTTGATATAGCAATGTTTCAGGAAAGAGACCAAGGCACTGTTTTGTTAATGCTGGGGATTAGCAACTTAATTAGCTCAGTCTTTAATACAGGAAATTACCTAGCGAAAATGAGACTAGTTAACATTTGCAAGGACTTAAAATATTTAAATCAGGAAAGGACAGATTTTCAATGACACACACCTACTAGATAAACATTTTCCTCTAGGTGAAAATTTTATTTTTTTAATACTTCTGCTATTTGATCCCAAAGGTTAAATGTGAATTTATTTCCTATGGAGATGTTGAGACTGGGGACTTCATCTCACTGCCACATAAATGTGATCTCTATTTTCCTGATACTATCATCTTGTTTGCTAAAGACTGTGTCAAGATGAAAATAGTGTAACTTTTTCTAGGTAGCCCACGTGTAGGCAACGGCAATGATGTTGAATGTGATCTTAGATCAGGGTGAGACTATTTTGATTTCAGTTACCTAAATATCATCTTTTTGTCACAGTGATTTTATGGCTAGAAGCCCCAGTCAGGTGGTCTCCAAAACTTCACATGGTGAAGAAATAGACTGAAAGACCTTGAATCAGTTGTATGTGATAAGAACCACAAAATCATCGTTGGAGAGAGAATTTAGTCAAGTATTTCTCTGTAGAAATCACATACATTTGTGGGACAGCACTGTTTCAAGGTGATACTTTTAAACAGGTGACCTGTGGGTCCACTGACATAATGAAAAAATTATTGTCATTATAATGTGTCAATGTTTCTGTCCCTTCAAATCAGACTTGTTACTGCCCTTCATAATAAATGGGCACAGAGGGGCTTTTTTTTTTTGCATTTTTTGTTTCAGAGTAGGGTTTTTTGTGCTGAATGTAATCAGAAATAAAAATGTACTTTAAAATATTATTTAAAACAAAGTCCTAATATTTATACTGTTTATCAAAACTAGTTGTTTGTAATTAGGCCATCTCAATATATTCGTTAGCTAAAAATGGTTTCTTCTCACACAAAAAAAAAGAAAAAAATACCCAGAAGAGACAGTCTTGAAATAGATTTCAATCAAATGTTAAAAGGGTAAATCAACTAAAAAAAAATTGGAAGGAAGAAAGAAACATTAAAAGTATTCCCATTTAAGTAAAGTTATGCTTTATCTGGGACAATAACAACTGAAAAATTAAAAGAGAAATATATTTTGTATGATTATGTTCCTTTAGGCTTACTTTCTTCTATCTGTACTCCTTTAATGCAATGTGATTTTTTTTTACTGAATAATGTTTTTTTCCTTCTTTTAGTGGCTGAGCAGTAAGAATGAAGGCTTGGAAATGGGACTCATTCCAACAGAACAGAAGCACTCTGTTAAAACCCCATGGTTGTTGTTTCCTCTTTTTTTTTTTTGCTTTTCCAAGATAAAATTTAAAACCATATGTCCCATGACCAGGCGTTTCAGCTTTTGGATTATTTGGTTCAGTATTGTGCACAAAACATTCAGTGGTGCATTATTGGAGAGCATATCTTACTAACCTGGTGTTGTCTTCTCTGCCTCTGCTCTGCTCAGCCAGGGCAGGCTGTGAGTGCCTGCTTTGTTCACATATTTTGTCTCCACAGCTCAAAGGGGAGATGAGCCCAACCTTTGAGGTGTTACGATTTGGTCTTGATCCTTTGAACTCTAAGTATGGGGCTTTAGAGGAAACCTGTAGATGTCTAACATATTTTTTCCCTTCTAATTGTAGACTTACTTTAACCTTGTCCTGTCCCATGGACTTGAAGAATTTTCCTATGGATGTACAGACATGTACAATGCAGCTTGAGAGCTGTGAGTGACCAATTGCCATATTTATCAAATAACAAGTTTTTACCCTAACATTCTGTAATTAGATTGTATTCACATCACCACATTTGTATGGTGAGACTCAGTATTGCTGTTTTGTAAGGGGATTATGTTTATCACCATAATGTGAGGGTTGCCTGTTTCTGTGCTGTTCCTGCTCCCTTATCTTTCTCCCTCCTGGCTCACATCGCCTTACCCATCAGAGTTGCACCACTTCCAGGGGTAAATACAGCAATTCTCCCTGTATTCTCCACCCTGTGTGGGAGAAATTACTAAATATCAGAAAAGTGAGAACAATTATTACGTAGCCAGAGATTTGCTATGTCCAACAGAGTTAGGCTCACTTTTGGGCAATGGAAGTGAAATACCCAATGAAGCAGAGTTCCTGTTAGTGATAGCTAAGCTAGTGTGCTAAACCCTTTTATTTATTTATTTATTTATTTATTTATTTATTTATTTTAAATTTAGGGGAGAAAGGATTTAGCTGTATGGCTATGATCTGTGGGCTGCCACCTGCCTTTGTGCCCACAGAATCTTAGACTGGTTTGTGCCAGCAAAGTTATGTTTTGATGGCAAACCAGGGCAGTACTTCAGAATACAACAGTGTTTACTTCTTGCTTTTAACAGAGTAATGATGCAGTTATAGCAACCGAAAACCAGGAGGAATTGTGCTGTTAATTGAACAGTTTGAAAATGTAACTGAGATAACACATGTTGCAAAAAAAGACATGCTTCTCAGACATTTGCTCTTTTCTGGTCAGTTGCCATCTAATAAACTCTGATTCCTTTATTACAGTTGGCTACACCATGAATGATCTGATATTTGAGTGGCTAAGTGATGGACCTGTGCAAGTTGCAGAGGGTTTGACCTTGCCACAGTTTATTTTAAAAGAAGATAAAGAACTTGGTTATTGCACAAAACATTACAACACTGGTGAGCATTATTCTATTTTTTTATCAGTTGTTCCAATGGTATCTATTGTCAATTTGTAATGGAAAAATATGGGTAAAATTAAAAAAAAAAAAAAAGAAATTAACATTTGATTCAGTCACACTTATTTTTAAATCTGAATAGAAAGAAATTTTCTCTCTGTTATTATTCTGAAAGATTTAATTTCAAAGTTCACTATAATTTCATTGAAGTGTTCTAATGTCCTTAAAATCATTGAAATATTTAAAATATTAAAAAACAGATAAAATATCTAATTGTTTTGATATTCTGAAAATGAAACATTTTGAAAAACACTCTTTTATTAAATATTGATTAATCAATTTTAAAGTACTATTTTTTCTGAACCTAGTTTATTTCTCCAGCATATCATATTTCCAATGTGGTAAAATATTAAATTTTCACCAGCTTTTATGTGTAGTCTAATTTATGAGATGTAGCATGTGAAAAGACAATGTTTTCATTGCTGATCTGAATAGTGGATGGACATAGAATGTTGGGAAATTGTTTGTTTAATACTCTTAAGTTTTGTTCTTTCATTTGCTGTTTAGGAGTTTATAATGCTGTGTCTTCTCGTTTTAGCTTTACAGGGAAGAGGAAACTGTTTAAATTTTGATTTAGCTGCTTGGAGTTTATTTAATGGGGACAGCATTTTGAGAATAGTTTTCTGGGTGCTTTCTGGGATTAAATATAATCCCTCTCATCTAAAATAGCTTTTTCATCATTTCAGCATAAGAGCTGATCTGGTTGCAGCAAATACATTTGTTTCAGTCTGTGAAATAATACAATGCGAGATGTTCTGTCTCTGCCAAAAATAATGTCACATTTATTTGTTATGAAAATTGTTTGGTTTAATTTTTATAAATGCAACCTCTCATTTTGGAGCCCAAAGTACCAAGGAAGGAAAACTTTGTGATTGGCACTCCCACTCCTGTCTTCTCTGTAGTCTTCTCCTTTAGGTTTAGTGTGAAATTAAAATGTGGATAAAACGTATTACTCAGCCTTCTCCTGAACTCAGTGTTCAGGCTGTGCCACAAAAGTCTGGAGAGCCTGTGACAGATGGTGCTGCTCGTGCCACTGCTGCCACAGGTGGCCACCACAGCCCTTCCCAGTCCCGTTCTGTATGGGCAGACTGGCCAGGAACAGCCTCTGCCCAGGTCTCAGCGTCTGCCTTTCAAGTCACAGCTCACTCATTTTAGAACTTCTGGGCTGTCAGAGGATATTATTCAGTGCCCACTCCTTTGTCAAACAGCCTCTGCACTCCCCTTTGTGCTGACTCTTGCACCTACCATTCAGCATTGCAGACCAGCAGGAAAATATAGGGACATCACAAAAAGGAGCAAACAGTCTAATTTCCCCTGAAAGGGTGAACGAGAGAAAATTCATCTTCATTCATTTTCCAATCAACACAAAAGGGTTTGAAACCATTAGCATGACACTTTAGGAATGAGAGGCTTTCCTGTAGTCTGCCTGGAGTGAGTACCTAACCCAGAGTAATTCTGAAGCAGCACAGAGTGATTGCATTAGTAGCTGATGAGCTGTTGCAGCTCAGGACTCTGCATGTCCTGCTGTACAGCTTCTTCCACTGTCAGGCAAGCTGAAACCTCTGTCCCCTGGGTCTGCTGTGCCCCAGCTGTCGCTTGTTTGAAGAATCTCTCACTTCCACGAGAGATTGGTTTAGGTTTCCTGGAGTCAGACTTCTAGCAAATTCAAAGGAGACTTTGAGTTGATTCTGCTGTGAGACATAATCCACAGACAGAGGCAAATGACGTTGTCAGAATGAGGAGTGTGATCTACCCTGGGACTGTAAGAGCAGTAGGTTACAATTTATCTGTTCAAACACAATTGCTTTATCTCATGCCTCTAAAATATCAAAATGCTGTCCCCTTTACTTGACATTATATTTGACTAAAGTAAAAGCTCATTGAATGCTGAGAAAAGAAACATTACATTGCATTTTCTGGAGGTGAAACAATTGTGATAATATTAATTTTCTCAGTTAATATGAAGAATGGGGCACAGTATACTTCAGTGGTCCCATGCTTCCCCCAAGCTAGTATGCAACAAGTGGTTGACTAGTGTTTGTGTATCAGGATTTGCTTACAGTATTAGGTTAGGAAACAGGCCACACATCTAACTTATGTTCAGCAAACAAGATAAAAATGTGCAAAAAGCATTTATGAAAGTAATTTCATGTTCTAGGAAAGTTTACATGCATTGAAGTCAAGTTTCATTTGGAGCGTCAGATGGGATACTATTTAATCCAGATGTACATTCCTAGCCTGCTGATTGTCATTTTATCCTGGGTTTCTTTCTGGATCAACATGGATGCTGCTCCAGCCAGAGTTGCACTGGGCATCACTACAGTTTTGACAATGACCACACAAAGCTCAGGATCGAGAGCTTCCCTCCCAAAAGTAAGGAAATAATTTTATACCATGAATTTGCTCTTAATAAGAAATGTTTGTGCTACCCTTTTAAATTTCAGGAAGATCTGTGTAAATATGCATCTGATAAGGATAGATGAGAAAGTGGTAACAGTGTGATGTTAAATTTGCAATACCCTTCCTTGCATTTGAATTAAGGAATGTTTTTCCTGTTTTGGTGGATGGCTGAATGGTTCAGCAGTATGAATTTTTAATGAGTTTCTACTGGTTTTGATACTTATTTTTGAGTGTTTAGAAACAAGATTTTCTGAGGTATTTAGATAACTTCCTGGATTTCTTTCAGACTGGGGACTTTAAAAACACTGGACTGTTAGACTGTCATGTATCTTGATGTTTCTACATATGGCACTTAGTCCGATGAATATATAAATATATACCCCAGAAATGTATATATAAAATACATGTATGTAACATATATGCAACTAAAAGATTTCTTTGTTGAAACTTTTTAGTGTGGAACTGCTGGTGTCTTTGTTTAACAGCATAATTTTTCCATATTCCACTCATTCTAGCATCATCTGAAGACCTTCATCCTATCTATGCACAAAAATATCCTCTCATTCAAATTTTGTGGTCTTTTTAATCCTGGCCAGATGCTGTAGATGAATTTACAGATTACAGACTGGATTCTCTGTTTAGTCAGGCTGACAGCTCTTTTCAGCACAGGCACAGCCCAAATGCTTTTGATAATAGCATTCCAAGCCTAATTTAATGTGCAAACTCAGGTTTTATACAATTTTCTGGAAGGGAGCTCAGAGGTGGGTAGGTTTGCAATAGTCTAAGGAATTATGAGATGCACTCCCTGAAGAGTCCTTTTCCAGCAGTCTGGTATCAAAGGGACTGGGATCATAGTGTCAATGAAAAGCACAAATTTTGAGTGTTTGTTGTTCATGATCCATTCCAAGAAAGCAGGCTGTATATTGTGGTGCTTCACCCTCAGTATCACATTTAGTCTCATTCCACATATGCAAGTTGTTCAAGTGGAGGAAAACTCCAAAAATATAGGGAAACTCCAAAAAGTGCACGGATTGTCTTACTTCTTTGTTAGTAATGAGAAAGTATCACTTAAAAATCTGGTGAGTACATTTAGTTCAGCTTCCCTTATTCACTTGGAGAGAAGCATCATTTTCAATGCAAACTGAAAGCCTCTCATATATTAACTCAGAATTTCAAATTGAAATTTATTATATGTTTCTTCAGACAATTCAGTCCATATTACCAGTAAGCATTCTGAAAAGAATTTCTGAAAAAATAATCTTGACAAAAATCATATAGGCTCTTCAACTAGCAAGTTTGGATTGCTGAAGACTGTGTCTAGATGGCACAACATGAATCCATGTGAAATATTCCAAGTTTCTTATAAATTATCTGGCTTGAGAAGTATAGATAATAGAATCACTGTAGTGGAGATTCCCACCCACATTTCCTCCTGGGCAAACAAGCCCTGACAAAAGGCTCTGCAGTGTTGGTGTGCCCCAAATGCTTTAGAAGGTGTTTTCATCATAGGCCTTTGATCCAGCTGAAATGTTTTCCCTTTTGCATCCTGTTGTGTTTGAGTAGAGAAGTATTTGCTGAGTGGAAGAATAAGAAGATGCAAAATATTTTGACCGTGATATGTTGATTATTGGAGAGATTCTTCTCCAGCCTCAGGATTAAATACATTTATCTCATCAGCTGTCAGAGAATGGTGGTGCTCTGCCCATACTCCATCTTCTGCTGTGTTCCTTTGCCAGAAAACAGGCACTAAGAAAAGTATCTCACCAGAAAGCCCAGTACAACTCATTTCAGTCAGGCTGTTGTATTTTTCCTGTGTAATTCAGCTGAGCTCTATTTTATAGCTTTAATCTCTATATGTTAGTTAATCCCTGTGGGGGCTTTTGAAGGTGTGTCACTTGACTTAAAAATGTGATTCTAAGTAAATGCCAGCATTCCAGCCAGCTGACTCCCACCTTGGATGATTCAGGTGCTTGGAGAAACATGGGCTCCATTCAGGTCCTGAATCACCACTACCTGATTCCTTATACATAGAAACAAGATTTTCTTGCTGTTGCTGTTCCAGGCATTTAGCTGTTTTAAAACCCCATCTGTAACTTAATACGAAAATTGTATTTATTAACAAAATCTGTCCAGCTGAAATGCACCTAGAAATAAAAATATGAAAAGAACTGAATCAAAACAGTATCAGACCTGAAGCCTCAAAATCTCTGTTTAAAAATAATGGTTTTCTAAGCCCTGTCTACATATTGCCAAGACACAGAAAGTTAGGCTGCCAATAAAACATCCATTTAAAAGTTGCTCCTAGCATGAATGTCTAACAGAATAAGATATTTCAGGAGGGTGGTTTTTTTGCAAGAATACTGAAAAACACAAATGCAACTTTGCTTGTGAAAGCAGCCTAGGATTGAATACAATATAATTTCCCCATCCTTCTTTGTGTCCTGTTCTTATTAATATAGATTTATGCAATTTAACTTTAATTTACCCAGTTTCAAGCCAAGAGTTTCTTTCCATTCTTCTCTATTTTAATAGAGCTTTACCACAAAAAACAACATAGTATCACAACTTGCCAACTTTAATGGCAATAATTTCTTTACCTAAGAAAGACAAAGAAAAGTTGTGATAAGATTCCTTAGGGTTTTTTGTCTGTTTCCAAGTCACTATCTAAATGACTAAAGTGTTACTGTTTAGAAGCAATTACCTACATATTGTTCTCAACCCTGGTGTAAGATAGCACAACAATGTTCTGTTGCTTAAAATCACTCTTTTCCATATTAATGACTAACATTAATTTCCATACACTGATTTCATAATAGTAGGTCGTGGCCACACAGACATTAGGCACTCAGCTGTTGAAAATTAACCATAAGATTGAGATTGCTGAAAAGAAAAGAAAGGAAAATGAAAGGAAATGAAATTAAGTCAATCTGAATCTCATATTCGCTGCATATAAGATAATTATCTAGAATGTACACTTCTAAATGAAATATATTTCTTTGGTAAATTCTGTAGTATTTCTGTGGGATTATTATATTTGGAGTATTTTGTAATGCTGTAATATGGGGTGAAATTCTAATAAATATTTACCATGGAGCCAATCTCTTTTAAAGTGATGAAATTATTTTGTGTATGTTACAGAGAACTTGTGAGGGGTCCTGTAATGTAGAATTGTCCTGTGTTAGGGGGTGGTAAAGAACTCATCCAGAAAGCTGGGATGGAATTCCCTACTTCAAGTTTGACTAATCCATCAATGGGATGCCCAGGAATGGTGATCCAAAATAGCAGGATTTCTATGATAATTTCCTTTTCCCACGTGTTCATATGCATAAGTCTCACCCACATCTGATACTCTTATGTCTGAATTCCCTGGTCCCGTCATCACTTTCCACTTAAAAACTCCATCTGGGTGATGTTTGTGCACCCAGCTGCACCAGTGGCTCTTGCTGATCAGCCAGCTGAGCAGAGATCCTGGCCTCCAGCTGGGCCATCCCTGTGACCACACAGCCACAGAGAAATCTCCAGGTAACCCTGAGCTTGCTGTGTGAGTCCTGGGCATGGGCCAGGGACATTCCCTGCACCTGGGCTGTGCTGGGCTGTACCTCTGCAGAGGAGCTCCGGGGTGCACCAGATGTGAACCTGACCGACCGTACAGCCAGGCAGGGCCCTGCTTGTCCTCTGGAAGCACCAGTCCCACGGACCCAGAGGGCACCATGTATCCATCAAAACAGGGACTGAGCGTTGTCTGGGCACCACCAGGGACACCAGGACATCTGTCTTGACTTACAGTCCCAGGTGTGTGTAAGCTGGGGGAGTAAAGCAGGGGGAATTCAAGGGCCAGTAGTGCAGAATTGTTAAGAAGTGTTACAAAACAGTTCTTTTCTTCAGAGCTTTGAAGCACCATTTTCGTGCTGTTCTTTTTACTTGTAAATGGCTCTCCTGTTGAATCAACAGAATAAAAAGTTTGAAAGGATTTTCAAAAGAAGCATTTGAAAGAATAATGAGTTCTCTGCTGTGCTAGTTGTGTATTTTTCAGACTGCTTTCTTCTTAAAACACTTACATAAACCAAACCTTAGCAACAACAGTCCAAGAAAATGAGTTACTTTTAATGCCATAAAGCAAAACATTTCAGGATATTTTAAGTCAAGTGATGGCAACTGTATTTTACACAGTTGCATAGTATTCATATTGTGTTGCTTTAATGCACAGTGCTTAATGAATGCACTTTCTGTCCCTGGGGAACAATCTGCGCAGAAAAAAGTCTCATTCAAAGCTCACCAAAACTTCTGGGAGTCCTTTCATTCACTTCATTTTGCTTTAAATCACTCCATATATTACCAAATGGAATAAAAGCATAGGTACAGAGACTTGAAAAACCAAAGCCAAAGAAGTCTATCCCCTTTGGCAGTAAATGACTGTTTTTATGTGTCATCCGCTATCCCCCGCATATTTGGAGACTTTTACAGATTCTTTGACTTCTGGCAGGCCAGTTTTCTTTTTTGAATGTCAGAAGCTATCAAGTAAAGAAGATACAAGAATATGGCACTTTTGATTGATTTTTTTTTAAAATTAAGGTTAAAATGATACCATAATAAGAGGGAAAAAAATAAATGAGGAGCCATACCAATCAGGACAAAGGAATAGATGCTATTATCAGTGATGATTTTGTTCTGTTTTGTGTACATTTGCTTTCATAGGAAATAGGGCACCAAAGGTGATTGCTTACTGTTTCATTAGCAAAGCACAGAGATGATACATTCTGGTGCAGCATGATGGTAAAAAAGCAATAATGAAGTAATTTGGAATGGAAGCAATTTTTTGACGAATTACTTTTAGTCTAGTCTCCGGATCTGAAGAGGAAATGTGGAAGTAATTTGGCAATCATGAGATTTGTTAATTGGCACTTGGATTATGTGGGTGTCTGAGCATTTTATACACTGCTTAAGTGATTAAGACAACCCAATTGTTATAAGCT